GTTACCTGAATCAAACAGAGGACAGATTGAGAGTTGTGAGCCTCCCGGACAGCTGCAGCAGAGAGAGACGAAACTCACAGGATTTTACGGCTGGACTGTTTCCGCATGCGTACGTCTGTGCGTAATGAGCGCACAGGGAGGGAGGGGCGGTGAGCTCCCGGTACCCATTGACTAGTTTTTACTCATTTATAGCTCATTTGTGTTATCAGATGCTAATAGAGGGAGTGGAGGTGTTTTGTACACGTCACTGTGTCAACTTGTTTCCACCTTTAAACCCATCTGCTCCGCTGTAAATACCGTTTTTACTCAGATTTTTCTATCAGTGCACGGGTCTGATTTGGGGATTTGCATTGCGTGCATTGGCAAAGTAGTTGTGCTAAACGAGAGCATTCCGATTTCCCCCAGAAAAACCAACACGAAAGTAAACAAATTAATCAAGTAGATGTAAATAATGTCAGAGTTAATGGAGAGGTAAAAGGCCAGTGGACGCCCCTTTCCGGGTGTGGAGCACTTGTATGTACTCAAGGTGCGTTTGCCACAGCCCCAAAACTGAGGGAGGAGCTATGTGAGATCACCTCAGCAGTCTGTGACTTTTAAAAATATTCTCCAGTAAATTAAAAATGTATTTGCCCCTTCATTGATGTCGATTTGACTTTTCTGAATTAGATTTACTTTGAGTGAAACATAGTCTTACGGTTTTAAGGTAATCTACATTTGACATCTTTCTGTTGCTGTTTTTTTAATGATCTATAATTTCTCACTCCATTTGAACACTTTAAAACATACTTGGTTAAGTGCTTTTTAATGATATTATACAGGATCACCAGGTCGGATCATTTAAAAAATGTTGATCATAATTATTTGTTTTTTTCTTCAAGTTTACTTGCTCCCAGTATGTTGGATTGTTTGTAGATGCATTGAAATTAAACCCAGTTGAAAAATTTCCAGTTTACTCCCACACTAGATCCTCAAGACACTGACGGTTTTCTTTTAATAGAACCTCAAAGGTCACGGAAACTCTAAAAGCTTGTCCCAAAGGCCTGTCAGTACATGGAATAATAAATTACAACTAAAGATATCTCATAAATGTGGCGATCTTCCACCAAATCTGTCGCTGTATTTCAGCAGGAACAATAATAACGTTTATTCCATGTTTATATTCTCAACTTTAGGTGCTGGGTGGTTCACGTAAAAGATTTGTGGGTGATGGCGGGACGCTTCGTAATGAGACTGACACAGAGGACCCAAGGTTTAAGAAAAAAAATCAGGTTTATTGAAATGTCCGTATACTGGAACCGGAACTCGGAGGTGAGAGGTAGGGGTCGCCAAAGAGGATAAAAGGATGAGGAAGAGTTTGGACTGCAGACGGGAAGGAGAAAGCGGGTTTCCAACCTCCCAAAAGAGAAGCTGGGGGCAGCTCTGAGTACCTTAGCGACAGGTAAGCGACTTCAGGTTGATCTGTTACTTGTGAGGATCTCCCTCTGGCAGGCCAAAAGGCTCTGGCCTGCTCAGATCCAGCCCAAAAACTGAGAATAAGGTTACAAAACAGAGGAGTGACCCAAACACCTAACGCTGCGTGAATGCCGCTGGAACCAGGCGTTAAGAAGCCGAGGCTGAAGCTTAGTCTAAAAAAGAAGAAAAAAGGAAGAATTTTGTTGAAAATCGGTGTTCGTCTCCTCCCCTCTGGCTGCTGTTGTCTACAGATTGTCAAAAAGAGTCAGCGTATGTACATGATGATCCTATTCAGCGGGGCTTTCCCCCATGTGAGAGCTTACTCTGCTCAGCTAGGGCCTTTTTATTGCCCACAATTTGACATGGTGTTCGCCTGCTGAAGTGTTTAGGTTGGTTATACCGGCACCTCAATCGAGAGGGCTGATGGGAAGAAGCCTAGAAGTGCCCGTCTGTAAATGCACTGCCCCCGGTGCATCCTTCCGAGTACCAAGTCAGACTACTGAACAATATCAAACTAACCAGTCGCGCTGGTCAAATATCAGCAAATATTGCGATGGCAAAAGCCTGATTCAGACAAAGATTACCAGCTCTATGATTAGTTAAATTACACAGCGATATCAACGCTCAAATCCCCCGTCCTTCGTCATCAAGCTTCAACTGGACGGAAGGGCCCCATCCGCGGCCCAGTCCAGCCCAGGAGATGGCGGCCGAAGCTGAGGGTGGTCAACATCATCCCCATGAAAGCTAAAGTCCCAAATCTTCCCCTCCTTCGCTTCTTGGGATCTGATACAAGAAGGAAATAAGAAAGATATTAATGATGCCAATGTTAAGACGCTAAGGCAAATAAATAAATAAATGACACAATGTTGGACTTCCCTGTATCAGTGACCATCTTACCTCCCGTGGAGTATCCGTGTGCGTAGACCTCCCTGCCAGCAATCCACAAGAGGCCGAGGCCACTGACCAGACGCTGTGTCGGACACGTGGAAGGAAAGGAAATGTTCACGCCCGCACACATTCTGTGCTGTGCTCTCTATGCTGAGCGCTGCTTATCGTCTTAATAATTAGTCATTAACTCACGGGACAATGCAAACCGCCCACAGCCAGGCAGAAGAGGAAGGCGGGGTAGACCTCCTGCCTGTCGGGGGGGGTGACAACATCAGCACATCGTGGAGCAAAACCAGGCCTCCTGTGTGTGTGTGTGTGTGTTCCTTTCATACTCACGTGTTCTGGTGGGCGCGCTGGATGCAGTTGAAGATGTTTCCAGTTTCGGGGTCATCACTGTACATCTTGGGATACTGCAAAAGGAAAAAAGCTGGGTATTGTTTTGGCTTTTTGCGTAGACGCGTGGCTTTAACTCTGGCCTCAATTCTGTTCCTGCTCACCTGCACGTTGTACTTCTTCCGGGCTTTTCCCACTCGGACGGCCAGGTGTCCAACCATCACCATGCTGGCGACGCCGGTCAGCAAGACGTAGCCATACTCCTTAGAAAGCACCACCATCCTGGAAACACAAAAGACAAAACGACTGGGCACTGTAAATCGACTTCAAATGAACGAAAAAGTATCTCAGACTAAAGGCTTTTACGCCAAACAATGAGAAGGGACGTGCTGAAAACTAGAGATCAAGACAAATAGAACGGAGCGGCTGGTCAGCGTAAGTTTCAAATGAAATCAAGGAATTATCACTGAACATTACCTGAATCAAAAAGAGGACAGACTGAAAGTTTTGAGCCTCCCGAACAGCAGCAGAGAGAGATGAAGCTCACAGGAGTTTACAGCTGGACTGTTTCCGCATGCGTACGTCTGTGCGTAATGAGCGCACAGGGAGGGATGGGCGGTGAGCTCCCGGTACCCATTGACTAGTTTTTTTACTGATTTATAGCTCATTTGTGTTATCAGATGCTGTTACGACTGGGGTCGTTTAATCCAATCATGTACCTGAGTGTGCAG